CATTTTAGAAAATTTTGTATACCTTAGTTTTAGATTGGTTATCACCATCTCTAGAAACATTTAACTTCTATTGTTTTTACATATGGATAGAAATACTAAGGTATGAAAAATTAAACACTAACAATGAAGGCGCTTAGATAGGCTATTATTTATAAGTATTATTTCACTCGCATTATTATGAACACATTTTTCAATTATTTTTTCATCCAACATACATCTTCGCATCCCAAAGAATGCCATAATTTTATTTTCAATAATTTTTTCCAATGATACTTCCTTGATTTCATTTATGTGCTCTAACAAACTAGCCCTCTATCTTTCCAAGGTATAGAAGAAAAAGGGCGAAAGAAAAAGGCTGGGTCTATGCTGTCCGTAGAATAAATAAACCACAGGATTTGCATTATTAGAAAATTAAATAAGAAATGAGCAAGTAGGGGAGACACATACCTATCTAGATAACAGAGACTACCTCATTGCCCCCTAGATATTCTACACCTTTTGTATCTTACAGAGAGAGAAAGAGAAAGAGAAAGAGAGGGTAAAGACAGAAAGAGGAGAGGAAAAGGTCTTCTTGCTATCAAAAGAGAGAGGAAGAAGACCTAGCCAGGAAAAAAGAAAAGAGCGGAGGTTTTAGGGGTTGTTAAAAATGAGAGAAATCATAAGCATTCACATAGGACAAGCAGGGATTCAGGTTGGGAATTCCTGTTGGGAGCTGTATTGCCTTGAACATGGCATCCACGCTGATGGCATGATGCCCAGGTCTGTCTCTCCTTTTTTCTGCCCATCTTTTATTTGTAAAAGCTTACCTTTTTCCTTTTTTTATGTGTTTATAGGGGTTGATGGTTGAAGATTTGTGATTCTCATCATCTTTGGGCTTTGTCATTGCATGGGTTCGATTAAAAATTTCATTTTTTGAAAAGGGTTTCTGTGATTTTTTGGTTTTTACCTTTTCTCCCTGGACCAAAAGAGCAGATGTTTTGTTTTTTCTTTTTGGGATTCATTGTCTGTTTCTGTTCGAGTTTTGGGCAATTTTGTCGGTGGATCCGGTGTTGTAGCTTTGGGAAATTTGATCTCAATTTGTATGATGAGAGGATGGTTGTACATTCTTGAATTTTGTGCTTCTGGTGACCATTTGTGCCTCATGACAGAAAGATTAAAGAGAGAGCAAAATTAATTTGTGTTTTGGAGCAAATGTGAACCCATGTTCTGAACAAATCTGGGTGGTATGTGATCAATAGTTGAAATGAGATGCGCATTCTGCTAAATCTTGCTTTCTTTTGTTGTTTCACGTACCTTTCAGTGATTTGTTCTGTCGTTGTGGTTATGAATGAATTCTCTCTAAATTTTGCAGTGACACTACAGTGGGTATTGCACATGATGCATTCAACACTTTTTTTAGCGAAACCGGATCAGGGAAGCATGTTCCAAGAGCTATTTTTTTGGATCTCGAACCCACTGTTATCGATGAGGTCAGGACTGGGACATACCGCCAGCTTTTCCACCCTGAACAGCTTATTTCTGGAAAGGAAGATGCTGCTAACAATTTTGCAAGAGGGCATTATACTGGTAAAATGTTTCTGAGGAGCTTTGTCTAAACCGTCGCTGTTTTGTATCTGTCTGTTATGTTTGGATATTCATTGCTGTGTTAATATGTTTTGCAGTCGGAAAAGAGATTGTTGATCTTTGCCTGGATAGGGTGAGGAAATTGGCTGATAATTGCACTGGCTTGCAAGGTTTCTTAGTTTTCAATGCTGTTGGTGGTGGTACTGGTTCTGGATTGGGATCATTGTTATTGGAGCGTTTGTCTGTGGACTATGGAAAGAAGTCTAAGCTTGGCTTCACCATCTATCCTTCTCCCCAGGTGCTTATACTGTAGTTACAGATGAGGAACATTGGACTTGTTAATTTGAATGTTATGCTTATGTGGTGTTTATGTATCTCTCGCACGTTTTAACGCAATGCCCTTAGTTATTATTTGCTGTAGAAGTTTGCTGGATGTTGATTCTATGAGTACACGTCGAATAGTTGAAGTTTTATAACATTTTGATATGAAACAAATTGGAGTCAGTTTGTTGCTGAATAGGTATTATCTAATTAATTTAAATTATGAAGTTGCAAAATAGAGGTTAACAGCACTCATCTGGTTTGATTTGCAGGTATCCACTGCTGTTGTGGAGCCTTATAACAGTGTTCTTTCTACTCATTCCCTCCTTGAACACACGGATGTTGCTGTGCTGTTGGACAATGAAGCCATTTATGATATTTGTAGGAGATCTCTAGATATTGAGAGACCTACATATACTAATTTGAACCGCTTGATTTCTCAAATCATTTCATCCCTGACAACTTCTTTAAGATTTGATGGAGCCATCAATGTGGACATTACAGAGTTCCAGACCAACCTTGTACCATATCCTCGAATTCATTTCATGCTTTCATCTTATGCACCTGTAATATCAGCTGAGAAAGCATACCATGAACAGCTATCAGTGCCTGAGATAACAAATGCAGTGTTTGAGCCCTCAAGCATGATGGCAAAATGTGATCCTAGACATGGGAAGTATATGGCTTGCTGCCTGATGTACCGTGGAGATGTTGTTCCCAAAGATGTCAATGCTGCTGTTGCTACCATAAAAACCAAAAGGACAGTTCAGTTTGTTGACTGGTAAGGAAATTGCTTATTATCACTATTATACATTAAGAAGTATCTTGGAGATTTTCAAGATGCTGGCTCTTAGTCTCGTAACTATTTAGTATATTCTCTGAAATGGTCAAGATATGAATATGCTAGTCTAAATCATCTTGTCATGCATTTGGTCTAAAACATCTGGAACTGAATGGTTCTTTAGTTGTATCATTATTGTGTTTGGACAAGTTTAACTAAGATCAGCTTCTCCAAAATCCACAAGATGCTGCATTTAGGACTATTTCAGGTGTTTTGCTGATGTTTAATTTTGAATTTGCCAGCTTCATTTTAGTGTTATGTAATTTTTTTTTTGGGTATGCTTCATACTCTTCATTGATCTTCAGGAAAGAGAACACAAAGTAGGTGGAATCTCTGAAAACATGTAGAGAACATAAACCTGAAAAACAGTTCACGAGCTACCTATACATGGAATTTGGGTGTTACATTCATGTAAAACAGGCAGGATTACTCTAAATTAACCTTTAACATAATTTGGTGAAATTGTAACTCAAGTCATTAGTTATATATCAGTTTCTTTAGGTAAATAAGATGGCTATGAACCAAGCTCAATCTAAGCCTGATTTCAGATACTGGCTTATTCAATCTTAACCGTTGATTTATGATCACTTCCAACCTGTCCATGCATACATAAACATGTGTTCCACTCTAGGTGAAGCATGGAGTAGGATAACGTGACATGCTACCATCAACAATTATCTACTGCACGGCATGCATGTTCATTGCAGACAGCATGTGTTAGAACCCACTAACATTTGTTCTTTCTGCTAGTATTTCTTCCCTAAATTTTCCCTCAAAGGGAAGAATGATCGTCGGTTAACCTTGAGAATGAACTCATCGGTTAACCTTGAGAATGATCGTCGTGCATTTCTTAATGTTTTTGGTGGAGCATCGCGCACTTACAGCTAAGACCAACTTAGCAATAGTCAATATGTTTATTCATTTCAATGTGAACGTTTGATCATCCTCTCTTCTTTACATAGGTGCCCTACTGGCTTCAAATGTGGTATTAACTATCAACCTCCAACTGTGGTACCGGGGGGTGATCTTGCCAAAGTGCAGCGAGCTGTGTGCATGATCAGTAATAATACTGCAGTGGCAGAGGTGTTTTCGCGGATTGATCATAAGTTTGACCTCATGTACTCCAAGAGGGCATTTGTTCATTGGTACGTCGGTGAAGGCATGGAAGAAGGTGAGTTCTCCGAAGCTCGAGAGGACTTGGCTGCTCTTGAGAAGGATTACGAGGAAGTTGGTGCTGAAGGTGTTGACGAAGAGGAAGAACCCGAAGACTACTGATAGCTTGGCATGTTATGAACACGGGCTTTCTGGCTTTGCCCATCTCTTCTACTTGATTGAATCTGTACCTTATCTTTGTGTATTGCTGTTTCTTTGCCTAGCTTGCAATTGTTGAATTGTGTCAAATGTTTCAATCTCAAAGTTTTTGTGCTAATAGCAAACAGGTGATGATCTATATATATTAGATCCTTGTGATGAAGCATGCTTTCAAGAAACCCATACCTCATTTTCTTTTCCTCGCCATTTACCTTTCTTGTTTCTGACCTCCAACGTTGATTATTGCCTTGAAACTCAATTGGTATGACATGACAAGGTTATATCAGAGTGAAATGGTGAGATGCTTTCGGCTGGTTTCTCTTGATTACAAAGATGTGGCCGTCAAAATGCTTATGAAAACAATCTTCGGCTTTTGATTTAAACAATCTTTCGGCCAAAAGATGACTCTTTTGTTAGACGGTTAGATCAAGCAAACAAGGAGGAGGCCTCTTGGCACTAAACGTCTAGGATTGTTGGCTGCTAGCATATGATGAGAAAATTACGGCTGCTAGCATATGATGAGAAAATTACTCCTGCAGCGGATGTAACTCTGTACCCTATGCTTTTGCTTTAGCTTTGTTTGGATAGCAAAAATTGCTACGTTTTTCGTGAGTACATTTTCCAACTACCTTTTTATTTCACATATATCAAATCGTTACAATAATTTTTTCACAAAAAAATCTAAAAAAATGCAATTCAAACTAAAAAACGCAATTTTAGGTGATCCGCGAACTTTGAAACCCGTGCATGCAGGCGTTTCCCCTAGTTCCTTTTACACCCATAATACAAATAAACCATAAACAAAATCTTAGGCTAGTGGCTGCCAGCAGCAAATGCCTATGGCATTGGTTAAAATTTTGTTTATCAGCTGAAAGTACATTTACCAACCGACTGTCTAATGCTTGCTCAGTTATGGGGAAGAAATGTCACATGAAAAACTAAAATCAAGAATGCTTGCAGCAGGTGATCCAAGAGAAAACAAAAGCTTGTTTGTTGCCTCCGATGCCACACAATAATGTGACTCAAAACATCTGAGATTACGATGAGAACATTTAATATCAACATACAAATACTGATGCCACTGGAAAAGTTCAAGAGACACTCTGGAGAGACGAATTAAAGCCAAGCTTCCTGAGATCTTCTAGTTGCCAACAACAATTAAAAATCTTAACCTCATGAAAATGGAAAACGGTTATATTTTCAGGTTCAAAATCAGTTCCCCAAAATCACTAGTGTGTGGTAGAAAAGGAAGCAATTTCTGGTAATCCCCAGAAACATCTTGATGTGAAACCCTATCAGCTGCCAAATTGAAAAGGAATAACGAAATCACCAAAATAAAGAGACGATCTCCTTTTAAGGGACAGTGGGAATAAAGCTACGGCACCCTGCTAACAACTTTAACCACCATTAAACCATAACCCAGAAAAGAAAAGATCCAACAATTTACTCTCGAAAAACCAATTATGCTAACCTGTTTTTAACTCATTCTACAAAAATACGGTGTTCACGTCTTAGTACTATCAGATGTACATCAAACTATACCTTCACAGAGTGCAAAATTCCAAAGCCACTATAAGAAGCTATTTACAAGAAGTTTGGTCCTCATTCTGCCTATCTCGGAGCTGCAGAAAGCAAATGAAAAGGAAATAATCAATCCACTCACTGATTAACATCGACACACTAAAAAAAAAAAGGCAAAATAAAAACTCTATCACAATATATACTTCATTCCTTGGGATTTAAACCATTACCAAGAATACAATAAGAAAGGTTTTGATACAGTGTCCCAATCACAGTGAGACAACAGGAAAAGAAGAAATTTAAGACTGCTATTTTCTAGGGACCCATAACCTACTTATGTTCATATAAGACTTGGCACAAGCAGCGGAAAGCAGCAAACGTGACAGACGGATTATAATGTCCTCTCAAGAAACTACTTCATGTAGTGATGGTAGTTTCTAACTCTGCCTCTCTGCTGCCTCTTTGCTTTCGCTTCTGGCATGTTTAAGTGAGAAAACAATTATAAACTGGGCAATCATCCCTCTTCTTGTAGTACAATGTCACTTTCATAAGCAAAAGACAATTGTAAGAATCAGGTGCTGACACATCCAGTTGAGCATCACACACTTAATCAGGCACCATGCTTCATTTTTCACATGCAAATACAAGTATGTCAAACACGCAGATGACCTATATGAAATTTGACTTTTCCTTCATGCCATGAATACGTGGCAGGGAATTAACTCCAAAACACTAGAAAAGGTCATAGCTTTCAGAAAGCTGACTTTTCCTACATGTCAATAGTCCGTGGACATAGCCCAAAGACTAGGAAAATTCTTGAAATTCTGAACAAGCAGGTAAATAATCAAGTAAAGAAAAGGGACATAGTCAAGTTTAAAAGCAAGAGGCACAAGATGGATGAAAGTACCAAATAGCACATTAGCTAGTCACCACCAAGATCTTGGTATCTCAAGCTTTCTGGTGCAGTATTCAACCTTTCAATCTCTGCTTCAGGAAAAAGTGACATATTTAGCATTGGAAATCATAAAAAACAACAAAAATCTTTACCTTGGTGTTTCAACCTACCATTGGGGTCAAGAAAGTTGCCTGAATCAGCTGTCATGAAGGGTGGGCTAGAGTACATGTCTGTCATGAAACGAAACAAGGGTTAAGCGAAAGAGGGTGAGTGGGGAGATGGGGAAGGGGAGGGAGATGAGAGAGAGAGAGAGGGGAGATGGGGAAGGAGGAAGGGGGAAGGGGAGGGAGATGTCTGTGATGGTGGGCTCGAGAGAGAGAGAGAGAGAGAGCAAACCAGAACCATTGGCAAAATCAGCTCCGAGGTCTGAGAGACCAAAATGTTGAGAAATTTGCCCAAAAAACCCAAATGAAGAAGTGTCAGCATCAATCAGAGTTTCGTTTACGGGTTGTGAATTGGACTCCACACTACTGAAAGACGAGACAGATGCATCAGCCAATGCAGAACGAGACTCCACAAGATTGTTATGTGCACCAAACTCAAAAGAAGAATTTCCAGCGTAGGTAGGTTCTGATTTAATCATCCCTCCATCTACTACAGGTGTTATTGCCCTATTTGAGCTCTGACCCAACAACATATTTGCAGAAACATCAACGTTTCTGCTATGAGAAGCCATATTAACAGCTGTTTGGATGCATGACTGCATTGATGACCCACAGTTGCTGAAAACGTTGTGTAAATTGGCAGAAATAGGCTGGTGTATGTTCTCCGCCCTCAAAGTAGGGCCAACATTTTCTGCAGCTCTACAAACACCCAAGTTTTGTTGTGCTGCACAAAGTTATGATAGAATGAACAACAATATTGTGGTTTGTTGATAGCAGAATTTGGATCAAGTTAAATAATTTAACGTGTAAGCC